TGTCCAGAAAAAAAATCATAGATGGATTTCAAAATGTAGGCAAAACTGTCAACCTCTGTTGCTTCTGATGGAAGTTCACGGGCCGTTGTAGACGGTTTTTGCCGCAAACACTGGAAAGGTTCAAGATAGCTGCGCAGCATATGTGAGGAAATATCAGAGAGCAGTCATTTTTCAATCTGGCTGAGATATCCCATGCTCAGCAGCATCCCAATACATGTATCCCGCTTAGTATATCTGTGAATGTGTGCGGCCTTCTACTCGTAAAAAGCTTATAGCGTAATTCCAGTGACAGAGGGATGTTTATTCTGATATAGCGGGGGGAGGGGTGAGAAGTGGGAAGGGGCAGAACGGGAACACAGTGCGTGGGCGATGGGAAGTGATAACGGTTGCTATGCCTCGCCTAGAGACGTCAAAGGAGACGGGAAGCCGACGGAAGTGGTCATATCAAGCAAAGGGAGTTTTGTTCCAGCAGGTGAAGCAAAGAGATGCGACGGTATTAGCGATGGTCGATGACAGAAACCGATGACAAATGAGAGCGGCTGACAGGAAGCCGCTGACATCATCGAATTATTCAAGGTGGTAGAGCTCTTAGCAAACAATTTGTTCACTGATAAGAGGACTGGTGACGGGTGTTGGTAATGACTCACATTTATCCTGTTTCTATATAATCGCCAAATTCCACTGCTGCGGTGTGATTGTGTGGGTGTGTGCCTCGCCATTTATCCTGTTTCTATACAGGGGGGCCAAAAAAAAGTCATTTTGCCTCCATGACTTTCAAGGCGCTATAAGTTACACTTTATTAAATTTTTATCGGACATTTTTACTACCATATTAAAGAGCACATTAAATACTATAATGATACAGCCTTCTGGAGGAGCGCCATCGAGAGATTCGGCCGCGCGAAAGTGAGTGGGTACCGGAGTTGAGCGAGATCGTTGATTTCTCCGCCACTGTAGACCACCCTGAGCTCCGCCCGAACTAGGTAATTGAGTGGGTTCAGGTCAGGGGACATTCAATATTACATCTTCTTCAGGTACGAAACGCCCTTCCATTCGAAGTAGGCGGGAGTTTTTCCAAAACCCTTCGATTCCATGTGGTGGCACCCAAACCTGTAGCAGCACAAGGTCTCCAAGAAGGTACGGGCGACCACATGTAGGGAGGATATCCTTCTCGAGTTACTTGATGTAACCGCCAGCGCTCACCTTCAGTCGGGGTCTACAAAGAAAATATCGGTCTTCCCATTCCAGGTACGGCCGGTCCACACCATCAACCCCCCGGTGAATGGGGTGAAGATGATGTCCTGGACCGTAGCGACGTTGCCGGAGCTGCTCGATGTTTGGGTCTTGCAGATCAAGAGTACTGGTCTCCAGGTAGCTATCCATGGGTGATTCCATTCAAGAAGTTCCGCAGCTGTTTGGAGGCCACGTGAATTCCAAAGGCGTTCTCCACTCAGGCCGCGACTGGAGATGACTTCATATTTTGGTGTACATGAAGGTGAATGGCGGCAGCCGGCTCCTGCTTATAGAGGAAGATCTTGGGTATCTTCCGCCCTGGTACTCATATCCACTTGCTCTGCGTGTCTGGTGGCTGGCTTCGTAATACGTTCGTCATATGTGGCTCGTCTGGGGCTTGTTATTTGACTTTTTGCCCTGATATCAATTTGCGTGCGGGTGTGTTGGGGGTGTGTCTTGGGGGGGGGGGCTGTGGTGTGTGTGGTGTTTTCAGTAGTGGTTAAGTTGTGTGTGTGTGTGTTTCTTCTTGATGGGGACAATGACTATGAACCTACAATTTTCGGTGAAGGCTCTGAAGCAGTCCGGCAACCATCATCCTGCAAATTTTGCGATTTCTCAACTTCATTCCAAAGACTCGTAGTCACAAAAAACTTTGCTTTGGGTGTACCATACCCTATGGATATCAGCTGGCACAGTTCACTACTACTACAAGCATATGATTTCCATTTGACGCATAAACGTCTTTGAGCGCATCACGGCTTTTCTCGCTTTCATTTGTCTAACTTCTAATTGGCTCTCTAACTTTGACGCTAACTCTCTAGCTTCGACTAATGATAATGGATTGAGTTTTTTTGTAAAACTCAGTCCACTGTTTAGTTTTTACCTTTATCCCGGTCGAACGGCCCTCACCATATGAGAAGTGGATGAATCCGCAGCTGCAGAAGCGTGCCGCTTTCTCTGCTCGAAAGAGCACTGAAATTTCCATGGTGGGTGGTGTTACCTAAGTGACATCTCCAGCTCCGCCAGCGCTACCGCTAAGGTGCATCGTTACTAAAATTCGCATCGAGGACGTTGAGAGGTAGAAACAAGCAGAAGTAAGGGTTCGAAGAAAAGTGGCGCGTTTGCCTACAGAATTCGCAGTATTGCAGCACGGGCAAGAGAAGTCAGCCATCTATTAGCACCCATCAGCCATATTTCAGCGTACATTTGAGAGGAGAAAGGGGCACGCCACGAAGCTGCGTACCCATTCACTTCGCACATGGTAAGGTTCAGGATCCACGAAGGTAAGTGTACAGTTCATCTTCAACTGCAGGCCTGCTATGTACGCAAGAAAATGTTAGGTTCATCATGCTCCTTACCGCCCTTGGCTGTCGGCTCAGAAGCGGTTCTGCATCCATCATCCTGCAAAAATCAGTTACACATTTTAAGGCATCGATGGGAACGTGCCACTAGAGCTATTGTACATGACAATGCACGATTAAACATAGTCTTACCTGAGCCGGCATGAGCTCGGAAGCAGTCCTACACTCGTCATCCTGAAACGTTTTTGGTTTCAATTAGCCACCAAGCTAATGCTCTAGCATGAAATTCGGTACTGTTTGAATGATAGAAAAAGCTGGATAACAGAAGTTTCTTTCCCATTCATTCCTTCAAGCTTTCAGCCAGCTCTAACAAGGGAGGTCGTTCAGGGCGTGGTGCGCTTTCCAAAAACGGTTCTGCATATTGTAGGGGCTCATGCAAGGACCTGAAAAGTGTGCTTCATTTTCGCTGCGCGCTTCCAGGAAAGGTAAAAAACGAGTGAAAAGAAATCTTGGAATCTGCTTCGTTTTGGGCCTCTATGCGGCGTAGGTCACTTGCAACTTTGACCAGTTGCTGAGTGGAGAGTCCTTACAAAGGGCTATTTGAATCAGAGCGAAAAATCGTCGCAAATGAGTTTCCAAGTTGGGTCACGTGCTCAAGGGTGAGCTGCTTCTGATGGTCTCTTCAACGATTAGGGCGGTGCACATGGGCAACGACTAGATGGCCTAGCGGATAGGACGAGGATTCACAATCGGACAGTGACGATGGGGTTGATGGTTCGACTCCCCTCGAGGAGCGATTTTTTGCATTTTTTTTTAGTTTCGCTGTTCTCGCTTCCATTTGTGGCTGCGCATGAACATAACTCGGATATTTCCCATCACGGGCATATACTGAGTAGCTATACCCCAAAAGTCAGTGCTATTCAACTATTTCAATTTTCAGTTGAACAAGATTGTAGCTGAACGTTGGTCTTCATAGACTAGACAGTGGATCTGATGGCGAATTATAGTAACTTCTGGTGTGGTGTCAATTATAGCCAATTTGGGGCCACATCTTCTTTCCACTGAATTCGTTATGTACACCCATATAGGGAACGTTCAGCGCTATTCTGTCGCCAAATTGCGTGGACGCCAAGAATAGGTGTTATATTTGTGAACAGGGCGGCTACAAACGAATTTCGGTCAAGAACAATTGTTTTGACCTTCTTGGGTTTGCTTATTGGGTTGTCCGGGGTCCGTAGCGTCATCGATACGTCATCTCTGTTACGAAGATGTGAGACTCCGCTCACACTGCCGACCAAATGGTCAGTACATGTACAATGGTTCGGTCACCTACAACCCGAAATGTCAAGAAATTTTTTTTGCTCAAAGTTTGCTCCCAGGGGTAATCGATAGTCCTGATCACGATTCTAGACTTTATTTTTGGCGCCAGTGCCATCTGGCACCAGCATAGCGCCGAAGAGCTCAGTCTGTGAACTAACAAATTCGAAAGAAAGAGCAACTTTGCTTCATAATAGGATTGTTCACTTTATCGTGAATGTTTCCGTTGGGACAAAGTATTTAGACAAACATGGACGAAAAACCAAAGAATTGAAGAAAAGCAAAATTCTGTCCTCGGTAGGATACGAAACATCGACCTATTTTTTACTTTTTTTTATTCCTAGAAGCGCGCAGAGAAAATGAACTTCGTATATGCCCCTACAATATGCACAAAACCATTTTTAAAAAGCTCGCTTTCGACCACCCTTGTAAGACTTCAAGATGACGCACGTCGACGCGCGCGACAAGCTGTAATGCGCTGCCGTTGCAGGAGCGTCTAAACGACATACAGGGTTGGCCATAATTATAGCGACAAGACTTGCTGCAGTTAGCGTACATTCTATCGCGCACATAGCGCGCCAGTTTTATGGATTTTTCAATCTCATCATTTTTCTAACTCCTG